CCTGACGACTTGTGTGGGCTGAAAGCCGGGTGGTCTTCTGCCATGTCTTCTGAAAGGCCATCGGGGGAAAATGAAAATGCTCTCACCCCAGAATTTCTTGCTACGGTAAGGCATCGAGCCTAAATGCGTGCAGGGCAAGTGCGGCATACGTACCTGCGACCTTGCTCGCTGGTGTACCTGCGCCGCAGGAGCGTCAACAGTCGGGCTGACGGGTAATGCACACGTCTGTTTTCTTGCATCTGCTGCATACGGATCGGTCATGATGAGGGCCAACGCAATGTGTCGAACGCACATGTAATGCGATGGGTGCAAAAAAGGCACAAGGCTTTACCGAAAACATGTGCTAAGTTACAAGCGTGGCCCTCATGAAGCTGAATAGTGCGGTCAATGGCACAGTGCAAGGCATCAGTACATGGCTACATTGGGTTGCATGGCTTCATAGCACCGGCTGCAGTAGTGCGAAGTGTGCGTACCCTCGAACAGGGGAGTCCTGTCGTTGACGATACGGCCGCAGGCGGAGTGGAAAGGGCAGGGCGATGACGCACAAGGCAATGCGCAGCACACTCGGGATTGGTCATCCAGGTACCACGCTTTGGCGACCCCTCCCACTCGCGCAGCCTTCATAGCGCAGGGCAGCCGCATGGCAGGAAGTTGCGCGCACTGCTCCAGCTGGGCGATGGCGCGTGTGTTTTCCTGCGGCTGGGAGGGCTTTGGCCAGGGTTGCGAGGGCTTGCGTTTCCAGCAGGAGTCAATGCTGAAGGCGTGATGCACGCTGTCGCAGTACCTCCGAGCCATCCGCCTTTTCCTCACCTTCGTACATCAGTGCGTGGGTGATTTGCTGCGCCTTACCCTGGCCCGACCGCACTGCGCTCAAGTGCAGCGCAATCATGATGAGTAAAGCCCTGTCTTGGTTTGCGCGCATTGGGCAGGTATCAAGCCTGTTGGACTTGATGTGCAGCCCCTTAATCAAGTCCTTCGCCTACAACCCCAAACCTCACGATCGACGCGAAGCCCTGGCCTTTGCCATTAGCCATACTTGCAGCATGGGAGGAACATATAGTTTCTTGCGCTTGCACGCCCGCCGTGGGCCTGTTACTAGGCGCCCTGCTTTTGTGCGCCCACTGCAGTCTTAGGTTTGGAGACATTCAGAGAATCAAGCCTTCCGCTCTCTCGCTGTCTGCGCAAGTGTGTTGGGCCACTAAGACAACCAATCAGGGACAACCATTTGCATGCTTGCCTTTCAGTCTTCGAGGGAAGGATATCAGCACATCCTGGCTGGTGAAGTGGCTCGCCTTGCTCAGCCTAGGACGCCTTGATCAAAAAGCATTGCTGGGAAGCAAACAAGTACCACGTAAGACACTCGAGCAGTGCATAGGCCTGCTCATTTGGGCCACCAGCGTTGCCTTGTAGCGCCTCTCTACTCTGATCTCAACAGCCCTCCGGGCTCGATGCACTCGGTACCACCGCAACTGTGGTCAGCCTTCAGAGCCTCCTATAGCCTTCCCAGCCTTTCCCGCGTGTGCCAGGCACCATAACCCCTATACTAGCCTTTCCAAGTCGGCCACACCAGCTGCAGGCACTGGCAGCCGCAGATGCCTGTGCTGAAGGCGACTTGGTAGGTGTAGGTGGCTGGGCAATCACTTCATGACAAGTGGTTTGGTTTGCCGAATGCCTTGTCAAGCCTGGACAGCGCTACATCGCATGTTTCAAAACGCTGGCGCAGTTGGCACTGCTGCAGGCCACCCATAGCCACATTGGTGGTGGGCGCTACTCATTCAGCGTGCCTTCAGGCACTGATAACTCGGCAACAGAAGCAAGCCTTAACAAGTTGTTCACGACTTCTTGGCCGCTGCAACTCTTCGTGCAGCTCACAGCCTTCTGGGCGCATGCGCACAATGTGTTGACAATGATTGGGCAGACGGCCTAAGCAGAGGTCGGCTAGCCCGATTCAGCCATCGCCCAGAGAGTCGTACGCTTCAGCCCCGCAGGCCTTGCGCTGTCAGGCAGAGGCATTGAGCTGTGTCCGATTGATGCGCCCTGGCGCCCGGAACACCTAGCAGCTGCTGCCAGCTGCGTGTAGACAAGCCTTGCTGCCTTCCAACAGGCGTCGCGACCCGACATAGCCCTGGCAACCAGAATATCTGGCTGGCTGCATCTGTCAGCTTCACAGCAAGCCGCTTTGGCGAAAATGAGCAGTCCCAGAACAGCAAATGCTCATAAGCATGTAAATGCAATGTCGTGCGACATTTGCCCTGCCAGGTACAACCCCACTCTGAAGGGGGGGTGATGAGGCCGGCGGCCCAGCTGGCTCGCTTATACCGGGGTTGCCTTTAAGTTTCACGGGGGGTCAACACACCTCCTGCTCCAGGCGCATCCGTGCCCTGGAAGCAGTGCTACTTTCAGCAATCCCGGTTAAAAGAACTGCGGCCGCTTCGGACTTGCTTTGTTCTTTTGGGTGGTCTGGTTTGGGTTCAAGATAGGAGCAGTGCAACATGCCTTAACGCTTAGGGTTTTCTTTTCCCTTGTGTTTAGGGCATGTACTTCCGCGGTGACCCAAACTTGATCTGTTTCATTTGAAACCCACCCACCCACCCTGCATTGCCTTTTCTATAAGGCTCTGCAAAGGAAGTTGCAGATGCTCTGCATTTCCATCCATGGTCTCCGGACCTCCGGGTCTCCGGACCGCCCACGGTCTCAGGACCACCAGGTCTCCGGACCGGCGTGGGCACGCTTGCCACGCCTTGCGCGCACTGCACGCACCTGCAAGGACACGCATTGTCTTGCCTTTAAGTTTCACGGGGGGTCAACGCACCTCCTGCTCCAGGCGCATCCGTGCCCTGGAAGCAGTGCTACTTTCAGCAATCCCGGTTAAAAGAACTGCGGCCGCTTCGGACTTGCTGTGTTCTTTTGGGTGGTCTGGTTTGGGTTCAAGATAGGAGCAGTGCAACATGCCTTAACAGAATGCTACTTTCAAGCAACCCGTGAGAAAGAAGTGTGCGCCTTTTGGATTTGCGGGGTTCTTTGATGTGAGGCTTGTTTGGGTTCAAGCTAGGAGCAGTGCACCAGGCCTTAACGTTTTGGGTTTTCTTTTCCTTTGTGTTTAGGGGCTGTTGTGAATCTCGTACGCGGTGGCCATTTTGTCCTAAGGCCTTAAACGGCCACACCCGCCAACCCAAGACCCCGACCAAAAACCCCCGCCCGGCAACCCGCCCCTCACCCAGCCCCCCGCCCCCTCCCCACACGCACCCACGTCCCCACCACCCGACCTCCCACAACCCCACCAACCTTCCACCCCTCAGAATACCCCCAGCCCTACACCCCGTCGCCACATAAACTCTCAAACCGTTTGTTTCGATTGAAACCCACCCTCCCACCCTACTTTGCCTTTCACAAGGCTGGCTCGAGGCTGCAGCCGCTCTGCACCTCAAGCCCAGGCTTGGGCACGCCTGCCCTCGCCTTGCCCAGGGCGGTACCCGCGGTACTCCCTCGCCGCACACATCAGCGTGGGCACGCTTGCCACGCTGTGTGAGTGCGCTGCAAAAGCCAGGGCGCGCCTGTCTGGCGCCTTTCAAGTTTCACAGGGGGGGGACAATGCTTCCTCCTGCTCCAGGTGCACCGCGTGCACCGCGTGCCCTGGGACAATGCTTCCTCCTGCCCCAGGTGACAATGCTTCCTACTGCCCCAGGTGCACCGCGTGCCCTGGAGGCAGTGCTACTTTCAAGCAACCCGTGAGAAAGAAGTGCGCGCCTTTTGGATTTGCGGGACCTAGGAGCAGTGCAACAGGCCTCAACAAATCAGGACCATTTGACCGAGCCTGTGAGAGCCCTTCCAGCATGGACGAAAGCGGAGTTTCGCAATTAGACTTTCGAGCTGCGCTGATAGAATCGGACGCTGGGTGGGACGCCGCTCAGTGGCTTGAAAATCGAGAAGAGGGGACAGCCGCCGCCTGCTCCAATTCCGGCAGTTGGCTGGGTTTGTGCGGAAACGTTTTTGGCCAAATGTTTGGTGACATGGGCGATGGTCTGTTCCATTTCTGCATAGAGCCTATGTTTGGACTCCTTGGCTTTGTTCGAACTACTCGCCACCAAAATTCAGGAACTTATGATCAGCATATGATTATTGTTTAGTAGTATTCACCTTGCAATCGTGACTGTGCAGCATTTACAAATGCATTTCGACCGCGCAGGCGCAAAGCGGTTGGACGAGATTTAGGGCGAGTTTTCTTCGTGGTTTTGTCAAACACTGGTGCAACCGTGAGATATAGCGCTTGCACATTTTTCACTGGAAGCGCCGCGGTGCCAGATTTATAGTGCTTTGGACAATATGTTTCAGGCTAGATAGCCTGCAACACTACGGGCCATGGAAATCTCGCGTGCCTCCTTGCAATTACACGTTGCTTCATCTCCGGTATTTTTAAGATATATTTCATTTTTTGGTCGTCACGCCAAACAAAAGTCCATGCGTATTTTTATGTTTTGTTTGTGTCTCGCGTGCAGCTTGACGTTCGGTGCAAAATGTACATGTCATGATCACGAATGATGTGAAACCACCTCGGGTTCCAACCCACAACTAACCAAACAACAATGTAGATTTGTTTCACACATTTGCGTAGCGAGGATACAACAGCACACCGTTTGTGGTTGTGCACGCTGACAGCTTGGTATTCTCTGCCTCTCATCAACATTCCGGTGTTTCGCTCAACAGCAGGGGCAAACAACCCAAACATGAATCAAATAAGCGTGCCCTGCCCACGCTTTGTTTATCGATTCATGCAGTTTGCGCACGGTACTGGTAATTTTTGATTATCCACTGCGTTCGACAGCAATCGTGATGAATGTTCTTGTTTGTTGCCAACCATTTCCTGAGTGCAAAAAAGGCATTTGCCACAGGCTCCCACACTACTTTCATGAAGGTCCATATAATCAAAGGCTTATGAGTGAGCCAGTTTTTGGTTCTTTGAACCAGTTCCAAACTTTGGTCTGTGCTGGACTTGGTGGTTCCTAGCCGTGCTTGGGGACTAGTAGATCTCCGAGAGGCGGCCGGGTGCCTACTTGGAGAGCGTGTTTTTTCTTCACTGGTTGGCGGAAGTCTTGAAAATTTGACGGGTGGAGTGGGACGGGGCTAAGCGAACCCTCAATTTTTTTGCCAAAAACAACCTGCTTTGCCCGGGCCAGAACAGTCGAGTCATCAGGCCAATCGATCACTTTGGCCGAGGTCCACAGCTAGCAATGAAGTTCGGGTGCGTTGGCATCGTTTCCATCCTCTTCTCTTTCCAAGGCGCGGCTTTTGCAAGGCGTAAGCAACATCCGCTGAGGTGTCGATGTCTTTGTGTTTGCTTGTCCCCATCTAGTCACCAGGTTTCAGAAAACATTGTCATCCCAACATTGGCGGCTCATGCACTTATAGAGGGCGGGGAAAAAGCAGGTTACAACTCGCTCTGAGCTGAATTCGGTAAGCGTACAAATTCCACATGCCACATAGGGTTCTTTCAATGATACGTATAGGGCACCGTCCGCAAGCTTCTACCAGCAGATGTAGAGGATCCCCCTGCAAAGCAGGTTTTTGGGTATTCATTTTGTGGAACCATGCCAAAAGGTCCAACCAAAATACAAAGTCATACCCGAACTTTGACCTTTCTTCAGCTCCGGGCGGCTTGCAGGAGCCGCGGCGGTCTCTTCGCAGAGGGCAACAGCTGCCGCCTCAGATAGCGACTTTGTTGGTGCGTTTGTGTGTGTGTGTGTGTGTTTGTTTTTCTAGAACTTACGCATTTTTGGGCCCACATTCCGATTTGGACACTCTCAGGGGCAGCACGGGCATGTTGTTCTTGGGTGTTGGGACCCCGAAAACTGGGGTCGTCCATTGTTTTGTCCCGCTGGCTCTAACCCACATGCATGCTGCTTGCTGCCGGCTTGTCATGTTGACTCTTTTGATGCTGAGGGAGCGAAGTCTTCAAGCAGCCCTTGGCTGTCGCTTCTGACAAACAGCTGGGCGCTGTCTGGGGAGTCGCAGCCTGATCAGACAAAAGGACGCTTGGCTGCATGGGCCCATGGGCCGTACCGTGAAGGCAAGATTTCCCTTCAAGTTTTTTTTCTTTTTTTTTTTTTTTCTCATAGTTGCAACTTGTCTACTTTTTCCGGAGGTCTGGACAGCCTTGCCCATGACATCGTCCAGTTGGCCAAGACCGGTGCTGCTGCGCCGGATGCGACCATGACCAGTGCGATAGACAGCATCCGCAGCATTGCCCCTAGGCTGTCGGGATAGCCACAGTTTGTTTTTTGGCTGGTTGGGGTTTCGGCAATTTTGTTTGGGGCTTCGGCGAGGTTGGATGACGGAGGCAATTCATTGGTTGGGTATTCGTGGATTTCGCCGTGACAATCATTCTTTCTGCTTGCTTGAGCCGATTGCACTCTTTGTTTGCAACGGTCTGATTCGTTTAAGTGTACGTTAAGATTTTCTCCGCCAACTCAAGGATTTCCTACATAGGGGCGGAATTTTGCCTTTTGAAACGCAGAGGGTCCGAACAAGGTCCGCAAAGCTGCTCAGCCAAGGTGACAGACATGAAGGCTGCAGTGAACGACAGCCACAGTGCAGCTCAGGCGGCGATTGACCAGAAGGCGCAGCAAATACCAAAACTGGGTGAGGCGAATTAGACGGCAAAGAGCCGTTCTGGTTCTTTATTATGGGGTTTGGGTACACGGCTTTTAGACCAGGCTTTGATTGTGACTCAGGTCAGTTGACTGTGACTCGGGCAACACAAGGGAGTGTGTTATGAAGGTGGTGTGGCGTCAAACCAGGACATGGCCGCTGTTTGAAAAGCACAACTCCAGAGAGGTCAGAGGGAGAACATGAGAACATGGCATTGTGGGTGCCAATTCAGAGCCACTCTGGAAGCTTTGGGGAAACAACTTCAAAGGCTAGGGGTTGGGCCCCCGAGGGTCCGACTGTCTGACTTCACATCATTCCCGCAGGCGAATCTGGTCACGGCTTGCAAGGCACCATGGGGCGGCGAGGGTGGGGGCTGTCTTGTGTGGACGGATGCGGTTCAGAGGGCAAAGGGCCGATTGCCAGGCATTCAGAATGAGAGAAGAAATAGTTTGGGCTCAAGCCCAGTTCATTTCTACTTCTCCAGCCTTGTTTGTGTATGGAACTCCCTATCTCAATAAATGCGAGCGGTAGGGCTGCATTCCGGAAGCTTGCGGTTGGAAGGCAGAAGTCGAACCCAGTGTTAGCTCAAGGCGCCAGCTGCGACGGACATGACCAACTTCCAGTTGGCGATGCCTGTGAACGCGGAAGCCGTCCTCACCTGCAGAAGCTTGCAATGGCATTGTGCCGGGCCGGCGGGCAATGGAATCAATCCGCAGAAGCTTTCGGGGGGAGACAAGTGGGGCTTGCGAAACCCGTGCTGAATCTGTCTCAATCGTAAGGGATGATGAGTGATGGGGCATAGTTTTGCGGGATGTGTCCAAGATGCCTAGCCTGCTTTTGGATTGTGATCAACGAAGGGCAGCGGCCAGTTTTAGAGGTCCCGATTTTTAGGAAACATGGAAGGCGCACTGATCTCAGGAGAGAGCGAGAAGCCGCTATACGGTGCGGCACTTGGGATTGCCTGCGGCAAGAAGGCTTCGGGGTTTAGATTTGAGTTCGTCTGTCTCTGCAGGTTCCCGTTGTTATTTGAACGGGTTGTTCAACGTCAATGCTTGCCAGATGATATATAGTGGTTTCCCTTGTTGTGGTGTTACTGCTTAGGGATCCATCCATTTCGATCAACCCAGCTTCAAGGTCACACATCAACCCCCCCTCCTCCCCACCCTTTGCGGTTCCTTCCACGGGAGTCTCACCCCCCTCTCTCAGTTGGTGTGTCTCTGAGCACCCCAACCACATGCCTTTTGAGCAGTTGCCTGTGACCTGGGCATCTACAGCACGGCCAGATGACTGGCTGAGCTGAATGCTCAGACCGTGTTTGAACCTTTTTGGCGGTCAGATTGTGGTCACCGGCTCAAGCTTGGGGCGTCTTGTTGAGGGTGCCACCATTCTGGGGTTCTTGCAAAAGGACACCGAAGAAGGAAGACACACGCTTTTCTGCCATCGCATCCCTATGATTTTGAGCCACCATTCTGGCGGGTTCCCAGACAAACCCAGCTGAGATAGCTACACCCTGTGCGAGAGCGAGAAGGCGGGCATGCCGTTTTCTGTTTGATGCTCGGAGCAGAGCCCAAGAGACAAAACATGAGGCATGCGCCCAACGGAAAAGCAACTGGAAAGTGTTGAGAGGCAAGCCAAGGATGCGGAACAAAAGACCTGGTTACTCGGGGGTTGCCAGGGACTGTCATGGATCCAATTGCCATGTCTCCGCAGAAGGCTTGAGGGCACACCACCAAGATTTTCAAGCCCAGACAGATAGGGCGAGGGTGAGGAAGTATGTCTCGTATTTGTCATAGTGGGGCTTTTGGGGGCTCCATCCCTGGAGAAGCTGAAGTACATGGCAGCCGTTTGGGTATGTGTCAAAGTAGGGTTTTGGACCCCAACAGTCAGGTTGATGGTCCTTTTCTTTTCCCTTGCAACGCAAGGTGAAGAGAGTGCCGAGCCTCAAACGACCACACCAATTCTTGTAAGGTGTTGTTGTCCCTTTTCACAGGCCCTAACAAGGTGCTAGAAAAACGCGCACACGCACAGACACACACACACACAGTTTGCAGTTCCTTTTCTTCTTTTTTTGTTTTTTTTCCAGCCACGCCCCAGGCGCGGTGCAGCAACACCAATGAGTGCTGCGCTGCCTTGGTCCAGCCAAACAAGTGCTACTGGGGGAGGGGGTTGGGTGGGGTGGCGTGGGTGAGGCTTTTTGGCTGGGAAAGCGCACTCGCCCTTCATCCAAACCGCTAGCGCCGAGCGAAATGGTACCTGATGATTGCAGGCTTTCAGGATGTTAAGGCGGTATCTTGGATAAGAGCCTATGAGAGCCTGAGAGTACCCCAATGGATTGATTGGTTTCCTTGTGGCCTTGGAAACACCATCCAAAATACTTGGTGAGGTGCTTTGGTATGTGTTTTTTCTTTTCACGCCCTTTGGTATCGAGGAGGCCTGGTTTTGTAAGGATTGCACGGAAAGCAAATGGGAAGCATTGTTGGGTTCTCGTAGTATCAGACACACCCGAATCCAAAATGGGAGGGGGTTCCCATGAAACAATGTAAAAGTCGGTGCTGCGAAAAGAGCTGGGGAAAGCCGGGAGACGCGGTGCCTCTCAAAAAGAAGCTGCCCCTTGCGAGCAGACGCTTGGCATTCTCGTGGACCAGCAGAAGCCCAGAGTCGATGCTGAGAATAAGAGTAGGCGCTGGAGGAAGGGCAAAGTGCATTCATACTGAATGGACAAAGACTCGGATGAGGAGGGCAATGATGAGACTCATGAGCGAGTACGAGCTAGCGACTGGAGATGTGGGGCAGATGTCTACGGATCAGGAGCTGATTGCCAATTTTCGGCGCGCAGATCCTCAGACGCCTGATGCATTGCTTCAGGAAGGCCACGTCAAAGTTGGTTGGCCACAAGGGCGAAGGAAGCCATTGGCAAGGGCCCTGAGCATTGCAAACATGGTGGTTGGAACCGTTTGGTGGGTATCGTAAATTATATATTTGTGGACTTGTGTCCTCTGTTTGCCTTGAGGGCATCCCTACTTTTAATGTCCAGAGACGAGCAGTCAGGTGTGGCCTGGTTTCCCTTTGGTTCCCTTCAAGCCTATGCCCAAGAACGGTACCCTCGAAGCACGCCATTTTTGTCGCGGGGCTGGGTTCAGAAACAAGCGGCAAGGCGTGTTTGGGGACTCGAGGTACTGCCTGAACCCTGGCATCGCTCCATCGCCTGCGAACCCAGGTCGGGCGAAAGGCATGTTGAGTCCGTGGTGGTAGTTTTCGAGATCAGGGGTGTCACCAGAAGAGAACGCGCAGTGGATGACAAGAAAAGGTAAGACACATGATAATGATCATGGTTGTCATCATGATAGTAGTCATGATGATGATGATGATGATGACGATGATGATGATGATGATGATGATGATGATGATGATGATGATGATGATGATGATGATGATGATGATGATGATGATGATGATTGTTGTTATTATTACTAGTACTATTACTATCATTATTGTTGTTACTATTACTGCTGTCATTCCTATTTTCAATCATTTCCATTATCATTATCTTGTTCATTATCATACTTGTTATTCATGCTGGTGATGGTCCGCTGCTGACACGATGTTCTATCTACCGCTCATTGGCTGACTCGGTGGGACCCATTTCTCCGGGCGGTGGACATCTTTCAATGCCCAAAACGCATGGGAGCCAAAAGAGCAATGAAGTGATCTTTACGGGCCTGTTTGGGTGTAATCTGTGGTTTGCTTTGGGGTCTCTTTCTTCTCTTTTCCTTTTTGTGACTTGGGTTGGCCGAAATATTTGACTGTCATGAAGCACCGCCTTCGTTGCAAACATGTAAGAGGCCATTGGAATCCTGTGATTTGCCCATGTACTCTTGTCGAATTCCACGATTGGCAGGCTATTGTCGGGAATATTCTCTGTTCTCAAATGTTTTCTGAGGGTTGATTTCGGAGCCGTGCGACAGGCCAAAAATTGTGTGTGGCATTTTTTGAGACAATCCCCAGACTTGGCTTCCTTGCGCGTGCCGTGTGGCGTTGCCAAGGCCGCTGCAGTACGAGTCCACCTGTGAGGGGGCGCCCTCGGCCTCAGTTCTTCCTTGCGCGTGGGGTGAGGGCAGGGGATGCCTTTGATTGAGTTTTTTTGGGTAATCCTTGGCGGGGGGGGGGGGTTAGGGCATGTGTTTTGTAAAGAGAGATTGGCTGGATGGCTTTTTGGTCCCAAATTCTAGGAAACACCGGTTTCCGTTTGAGCCAGCGAGCCAGTTGGCCACCAAACGCAAGGCGCCCTTCCAATTTTGATCAGGAAGTTGAAGGGTATGCAGCTTTTGGTTGTGAGCGTTTTGTTTGTTGCTAGTTTGCAAAGAGACCAACATGAAGCTGTTGGCAGCCGTTGCCAGGGGCTCTGGCCGTGTGCCAAGGTTTTTGGGGCCTGCGTGGTGAAATGCCCCATGTCGTGGCTTCTCGCAATCAGAGCCACGGAACCGATCGGATTAGTCATATACCACGTGATCAGTCCCTCTGATTGAATCGCTTATGCACAATTCCTGTATGGTTTTGACATTGCTCACACATTGTGTATATGTCATGGTTGTAAAAAATGGTGTTGTTTCTGGTTGCACACTGTACGGAGGATTGACCACTGCATGAATTCGTGACTTGTGTGTCCTTGTGTCCGAGGTCCATGTGCAAGGAGGCGGACATGACCAGCAAGTTGGCCTTCTTCAAGGGGAAGCTTCAGGAGTCCCTCGGAGTTTTTCAAGAAAAAGCGACCGATGACCGATGAATCCAAGAGCAGAAGAATGAGATACTGTATTGAAAGACACTTATTGACATGTTTGGCTTCAAACCGGCAAGGTCCTAGACAACAAAGAGAAAGGCCCAGGGGGTGTGATCGTTTTTGTCAGGACCAGCAGTGGTCTTGACTGTGCACTTTGTAGACCTTTCGAACCTTGAACCCTGGGGTTTACACACAAATGTATATACACGTATGGTATGGTTTCGTGTGTCCTGTTAGGGATCGATGATGCTCATCCTCCAACTCCACACAAGCCAACCCTACACAACCAAAGAGAAATGCAGGGGAGAGCCTGTGCAGGACTGCGCGCTGATAGGCTACGGTACGCAAATATATCTAATTACTTGTGCGCATGTTGTTCTGCGCGGCCGTGTATATGTACAACATACACGTTGGAGACGAGAACCGCTCACATGTTCGGGTCTTTTTGGCAAGTCATGTTGGCCTAGTCGCTTAGCTTCCAGCGACCTAAGTGCCGAGGTTGGATGCAGCTGAGGCAGCCTGCGAGACTTCCCGCGCAGGCGAAGCCGCGTGTGGGCACGCCTTCCCGGTGTCCTGCTCCCCTTTGTTTCGTGATGATAAATTTTGATATTGGTCGTTAGTGTTTGTAATGGTTTTGGTCGCCCTTTCAAACAAATTCTTGGTGTTTTCCAACGGCAAAAAGTTAAGGGGTTGCAAGGGGTCAGATCGGTTGGGGGTCTTTGATGGGCTCAGGACTCATACGCTCATGGATGAACCAATTGGGTCCGAATGTTGGGGAACTTCCTTCCGTGTTGCGCAATCTGGGGGTAGAGACAAACAGCTCGTTTGAGGGAAGTCTCGAAGCACGCCGTGGCCAAATCGATTTGTTTGGGGCGCCTTCCCCCAAGATGACGCCCGGCTCTAGGCTGCCAGGAATCCTATGACTGCGCGACGAAGGAGGCAGCCTGGAAGGCGAGACGGAAGTTGGCAGTGACCCGGGGTCCCTGTATGCCCCATTCGGCGGATTTTTAACCTTATCTTTTGGGCCGATTTATTGGTCCATTTGCTTGAGGGGAAATATAGGGAACATGCCCGGCCTGGCTACTTTGTGGGCTTCTTTCGGTGGACCTTCGGGAAAGTATGGGCTTCGAACACTGGGCTTCCCTTGCGGCCCCTGGAAGGACCATCCAAAGCTCGAAAGGGTGTTTTGAGAAGCCACCCAAAATCTCCGCCTTTGTTTTGGTTGCAAGAAGAAGTGGAATGGGGAGAGTAGAGCTAGCGAAGAGGCCAGTCTCCTCCTTTTGGTTTCTTCTAAGCATCCCACAACTCATGGCTTCTGACCTTCTTTTGGTTGGTAGTGCAGGGGAAACTAAAGGGAACCAGCCATTTTTGTTGCTAAACTTTAGGGGTCAATTTTGTTGAACAAATTTTGACCTGACCTTTGCGCTCAAAGCGGGAGCACTGGACCCGCTTTGTGCGGCCAGACCCAAAAGCTGGCCTGCCACGACAAGCAGACTGAGTTCGAGCAGGCACGGGGGCTTTCGACACCACTGCCCTTTGGATTCTTTAGTTGACAATTCTGGCCCACATAAGGAGTAGGTTCTGACCATGGCACGTATGCCAAAAAGGGTACAGTCAAAATGAACATGCCGATTTGGCCGAGCCTCGCTCCTTGCCAGTCCTACTGCAACCTGGCGACCAGCGTAGAGGCTGGAGGGCCGCGACCGACACAGCATTCTCAGCTTGAGGTCAGGGCATATTTGACGCCATGTCCATAGAAGGTGTAGCGTATTGCATATTGGATGGCACATAAAGTGATCCTTCTGTCTCAAAAGGGGGCGGGACGAAAGGTTGCTTGGACCAATGGCCAAAGGTTGGGGTTGTCCATGTCCGACTGGGATGTGCACTGTTTCTGAGCCACAGCCGTCTTGAGGCGGGCCAGCATTCCTAGCTTGAAGCATGTGCGGCACCACGGCATTGCTTTTGACCGGAGCTTGGGCTTTGCAGGGCGTGCAGATTCCCAAGTCAACATGCGGCTGTGCATGGCACTGTGTTCATCAGAGGGCCCAGGCATGAAAGTTCATACACAGATCATATATCTAGCCTTCCTGGTGTTGAACAATTACATGTGTTGTGGACAATTAAGGTTTTAAGGCCGCTTTCTGCGATGCCAAGATGATCCAATGTACAGCCACACAGAACTAGACAAAATTCCCACGTCCACCAATCGATCGTCTGGGCTATCCGCAGGCCCAATGGGACTCCTACTTGCGTTGCCAGAGCCTCAGGCTGTCAAGCGCAAGGGCTCTTCTCGGTTTCATGGGGCTTCCGTTCACGGATGGACCACCGGGATGAACCACTTGGTGCAGGATTTTGTTTGCCCAAGCAGCAAGCCCAAGTAAGCCTGTATACAACAAAACTAGTAGGAAACGTGGATGGTTTTGGCGCGCAGCTGACTGAGATTTCGTTGCTGCCCATGAATCTGGGAACTCACCAGAGTTGTCGAACATGCGCCAATGATTCTGGCCCCGGACGGGCCCACCCAGAACTCCAGTGATTGAGTTGTGCCGCTTCTTTTGGATTTGAAGTGTCCCAGCAAGGGACCCAGAAACGCCGCTCGGTTGACGACCCAATGGCTTGGCTGGGACAAACCTTGCTTTATCCCCGAAACCGCTCAAGAATTACCATCTCCTGCCCACTTGTATGAACAAACCCTTTTGAATATCTTTTGGGTCGCGTTGGTCTGGAACTGATGGTTTCCCGCACGGAAAGGGCAGGTGCTGACGGGCTGGAGTTTTGCACTGAGCCTGCTTCAAGGACGCAAACACGCCAACAGATCCCCAGGTGAGTGCCATTTTTCTGAACCCCCCCGTCCGTTTGTTGGATCCAGGGTCCACAAAAGGGAACTCTCCTTTGAACTATCACCGGAATCTCTGCTTTTCTGTGAATCTTATGCCCGAGGAACCAGTTCCACCATGGGTAAGAGGGGAGGGGAAGCTTTGCAAAATCTGGAGATGAGTTCCTACAGCGACAACTCGAGTCTGGCCAGCTTCCTTTCAGGTTTCTCCAAAGCGGATCGATCCCATGTTGGCAAAGGACCAGGGGCCAGGGGTTCCTGGAGTTTCTGAGTCTCAGCAATTTTCCGTTGGTTTTTGGGAGTGGACCAGCGGCTTTCCAATCTTTCCCACCGCACTCGTCCTTTGCACCGGCGAGTCTTCCACAGCATAGCCCTTTGGGTCCAAACCAAGTGAGCCACAACCGAAACCGGGGAAGTAGGGAATTCCGTCCAAGCTCATAAACCCTATAAACCCTTGCTTCTTTCCCTTATTTTTCTCCAGGTTTTGAGCGTGACATCCCAGTGCCAAGCTGGCCGAGGCTACGATGTGAACAAGACTGGCCTGGTGTCGGAGGAGCAGAAGCAGGCGGCGGCGCTGCCTGGGCGTCAACAGGACTGTGGGGTGAAGGGGTGGGTGGGCGCATGGGGTGGAGGGTCCCGATGCAATCCTGAGTCGGGGATGCCATTTTCTGTTTTTGGCCGTTTTGCGGCCGTTTTGCCCAAGGGACACCTCTCATGCTTTGGCATCGAGTCCATGCAGGAA